GGTCTATTATCAAATTAAAATAATAATAATAAATAAAATTAAATAATTCTTTTTAAAAATACTTGAAAACAATGTTTGCAATGATCAGAGCCAAATTAAAAGAAAAAGAAAGAAAGAGGAAAGAAAGAAAGAAAGAAAGAAAGAAAGAAAGAAAGAAAGAAAGAAAGAAAGAAAGAAAGAAAAAGAAAGAAAGAAAGAAAGAAAGAAGAAAGAACGAACGAACGAACCAGGGAGAAAGTCAAGGAAACTTTGTATGACCAAATCATGTTTGTCAGTATTCAAAATACAAATTGACCCTGAGCATGTTTTGATACCTTTGGACACATTCCAGGCTCCCCAAATAATTCACTTTTCACTCTAATCCTTTTTCCTCCTCTTTCAGAGTGCATCTGTGAATGAGAGAATTTATATTTTCTCTTTCCAGCACCACAGGCTTTTACTGGCCTTGTGATCTATTCCCTTAAATACATCCCAGACAAAGGCTTTTGCAAAGCAAAAGGCAAATTCAATCCTGCCACATCATACTGGAGATAAATGGCTCAAAGGTTAATGGCAGACATATGGTTTACTCTTGCTATTTCCTCTCAACTTGACTTGGGATCTCTTTTTAGTCATGTAAAGCCACAGCCAAATCAGCAATCAGATCCACACATGCACTGTTTCAGAATGGAAGCTAGAAGGCAAACAAGGGAAACAGTTACATTCAAGAAGACTGTTTGAAAATGTGCACTTTTAGAAAATGAAATCAAATAAAAGCGAACATGTCTGGTCAGTCAGATTCCTGGCTGGAATGTAAAATTTAAACAAATTTTAAAAAGAAGTTTGAAAGATTATTCATTTAAATAAGAAAATATGTGGATAGTAGTAATGGTAGTAAAATACCAAAGAAGTTAAAAACAGATGGCTGAAGATACAGATTGTATACACATGCGTACACACACACACACACACACACACACTTGTATGCAAACTGTGATTATGAAAAAACTATTCATGGATTTCAAAAAATTTTTACACCAAAATAAACTTGTACTTTAATTCCATTTTTCCATGAATTTTGAAGATTACTTTATATGTATATATCACACACATATAATTATTAATATATATAATATTATGTATTAAATACAGATGTACACATGTACATCCTGCAGGGTTTCCTCCTGCAATGACATTTTAGATTTCCTTTTAAATCCATTTTTAGTGATAAAGGAATCTCTTTTTATTTAGTGAACACAGAGCTTAAATTTGCTTAGTGTTTTGATTACTTTATATATATATATCACACACATATAATTATTAATATATATAATATTATGTATTAAATACAGATGTACACATGTACATCCTGCAGGGTTTCCTCCTGCAATGACATTTTAGATTTCCTTTTAAATCCATTTTTAGTGATAAAGGAATCTCTTTTTATTTAGTGAACACAGAGCTTAAATTTGCTTAGTGTTTTCAAACAGCTATGTCTCATTTTGTGCTAACTACAAAGTGTCAGGTTTTCAAACCAGCGCAGCTAAAATAATTAATTGCCTGGGCAAGGGGCATGTCTGTTTTGCATAACAGGATGAAGATAAACGAGGGACCCACCCGTGCAGTGTTCAGTCCTGCTCAGCAGCATGGACACTGGGACTCACCAGATACTGGGTAAAAATGGACACGTCCTCTGTGCTGTTGTCAGAGTTCATCCTCACCAACCTCCCCAGCCTAGGGGAACTTACAACCATAAAAGTTACAGTTCTGTTTCCTGTATCGTCCATGTCATTGGTCACGGCTTTCAGGTCATGAGATGAAAGGGGTTTTGTGGAACCTAAGTGAAGATGAAAAAATGCATGTAAATATAAAGCACAGGAAGGCTGCCAGTTAGTAAAATAATATATTTTAATAGATTTTTGCTATAGGGTGCATACACTCACCAGGAGACAGAGAGACAGAAAGCAAGAAACCACCCCTCAGGGAAGATGGCCACACCACAAACCCTTCTCCTCCATTCTCCTCTCAAGATTTTGGGCACACAAGCACTTGGCGTGAGTTTCAAGCTGCCAGGTCCAGGACTCAAACTACTGTTGACCATGTGGGAGTCCAGTGCCTTAACCACTACACCACCTGCTGGTCTCAATAAAATAATCTTTATGCGATCCCCAAAAACTGTTTTGAAAACCCTGGTTATGAATGAGGGAACTAGCTAGCTTTAACCTGAAACTGGGCTACAAGGAGCTAGTGACCCCTGAGACATCTACTCATGGGTATCATTTGTTTCCAAATACCAAAGACTCCAGAGAAACTGGCTTCTCACCACCCACCCAGCCTAAGCCTGGTGTCTAACTGATTCCTAGACAAAGAAGGCAATGCTAGGTGTGCATGGTTCCTGGCTCAGTACAGAGCATGGAAAGTGAAAAACGGATCGTGCAGCCCTAAGAACACAGGAGACAACACTTTTACCTTGGAGGTTAGAGGTGACTTTACTTGACAGTGGCTGATACTCAGTGGAGTATCCTTCTACAGGTATCTGGAATGAAAGGCTGGCTCTTAAACAAACATGTGACACCTCCTGGGGACTCCCAGACATACATGTTGCATAGACATTGTGGGGAGTGAAGGGCCTGTGTGAATGCCTGGGAGTGGGGGAGAACTTGGTGGCAGATGGGTTTGAGCACTAAAATGACCTCATTGGTAACCAAAGAGACTTGAAGACTCTCAGGTTAGTGCAGTGCTTCTCAAATGCTCTGTGCTGAATGATCAGTGTTTCCCTTTTAATCAATCCACTGTGAACTGATAATTTTGTAAAATACAGTAAAAATGTCACAACAATGTCCAGTAGCTATTTTAAAAAAATGTCTAAACACTTCATCTCATTTTCTGTTCTTACTGTTCACAGATTAAAAGGTCTGAGGAACACTTGGTGGAGCACAGGGTTGGAGCCCATATCCCTTACTTTGCAATGATTCAGAGAACATCTCCAACCTTATATGATGGTGAGTCTTAAATAGACCACATCATGCTCAAGCCCAGAATATTACTTCATCTCTTCTGTTTTAGCTCTTGCTACAGGACTGAAGCATTAGGCTTTTGCAGGGTCACCATCTGAGTAGGCAGTTGTTTATGAAGTTGAGCCAAACATCCAATACTAAGCCTCCACCTTTCTTTGTTTTTCCTCACTCTACCTTCAAGAGCAAAGGCCACCAAATATAGTGTTTAAAACACATTAGGCATTTGCCAATTCCAAGCAGGAACCAGCTTTGGGTCTGAAAGATGTCCAAACTTACACAGATTTGAAAGCTCCATTTAAGATGCCTGAGCCCCTGGAATGGGTACCAAGTCTTGGGGCTCCTGGGGATGAGGGCGAAAGTTCGAAAGTGCCTGAGAACATCAGGTGCCTCAAGAACACAGGTCTGCCTCAGGTTCAGAACACGCTGACGCAAGTTTAGTTGTTACATAAAGTGCTCATGAGATGCTTGTCACTGTCTCCCACATTCCTCTCACTTCTTGTTGCTGACATTTTTGCTGTCATTGCCACCTTCTGACTCCTAGAGATGGGGCCAATATTGGAGGTCACTCTGGAAGACTGAAAGGAATGTTTTTGTACCCTTCATCAATATTACACAATGTTATAACTGATATCTTTCCTCTGTTGGCTGTAAGTAAGTTTCCCCCATTCTATTAGGTGAATAGTATCTTTTATGTACGCAGTCTCTGGTCACCCCAACATCCAACTCCTTCATCTTCAGTTTTTCTTTGGAACTTTTCCCTGGTATGCCTTCTTATAAAGGACTCTAACTTATAACTAATGTATTCCCTCATTTCCAGAGTTACATTTGGTAGATGGGTTGGTGTGTGGGGTGGGGAGGGGTAAAGAACTCTTTTTTAAAAATATATTATTTCATTTATCTTAGCCTTTTAAAACAGAAGACCCATCAGAGCTGTTTCAGGTCAAGAGTGCTTTTCTCTCATCCATGATAGGTCAATCCCTCATGGTCTTCTCCAGCTACCTAACTCAGAATGGTGCCCATGTTTAACTACTACTTAGCAGTGATCCTGAGCAAGCTCAATCAGCAAGACTATTTCACCTCATACTGTAGCTACCTAACCCAGTTCAACCCACCAAAAGCCACCTCATTTCATCCAAGTGGCTGATAATTTCATCAATGAGCTCCAGACACTTAATTTGGAAACAATTTTTCTAAGGCCCCACCTAAATCTGTATTCAGAGAATAACTATTCTCAAGGAGCACAGTCCTAAGAGGGCTCTGGAACCCTATCTGTTGGGCAAGCTCTTATTCCATATGCACTTTGAGAAGATTTGAAAAGTTAACTCAGCCTCTTAAAGTATCTGGTAAGTCTTGGAGTAAAGAGACCAATTTTATCCTCCTCTTTAAACACAGCATTTGCTCAAATATAGCTTGTACCCAGCATAATTGCTTCATGAAAAATAACTACCACCAAGGTAGCAAGAGTTTTGTGGTCACTAGACTTGGAGGCCTTGCACATTGTTTCAACAAACATTCTGGAGTACCTACCATGTGGAAAACACAAACATAAAGAACAGTGATATGCCAAGAAACAGCACAGACATGAACTCTACCCTTTCTTGTAGATATTGTGATAACCCTAAGAAGTATGTATTTATTTCCTCATCAGTAAGAAGTGATATCTGCAACTTCCCTGATGGTCAATGTTAAGTCTTGCTGACTCAGAAGCGAATATTTTTAAAGTTGAAACTATATTGTCTCTAGCATTCTATTTTGAACACAATGGGTGAAATGATATCTGAGTTAGGAAATTATGTGATTAACCAGTCAATAAATCTGACATACCTTCCACCCAACCTTCCAAACACACCTTTCCACTGCTCTGGTCTTCACTTACACAGTTGGCACACTCGCCCCTCCTCAATGCCACCCACCAGTCTACTCAGTCTTCAGGGGTGCTTAAGACCTGTCTTGGCCAGTAAGTTTTCTCAATTATCTCAGTCTATAAGAAATTTCCCTCCTTTGAACTCATGTAGCACACCCTATCTGCCCCCAGTCACCAGGCACTTATCTTTACATTAATGTTTGGCATGGTTAATGATTCTTGAGTGTACATTTCCTATTTAACCAATTAACAAGCTTTTCATTATTTCCTTGAAGAATGACAATCTTCTGTTATATTTTTGGTTATTTCCCACTAAGTCTAGCAGTATTCAATTTAGTGTTTTAAGACCCAATAGCTAAAGGTTTTATAAATCACCGCTTGAAACGTTTAGCAATACACTATGAGTCTCTTCTTTCTATTTTCCTTCAATTCCTACCATGGAGGAGAGAGAGCCTGTTGATGACATGTGGTTCCCTCTCTCTCGTGACCAAAGAGACTGACTCACAGTTTTCAGGAAGAGCTGGTGCTGATGGATTGCTTACCTCTGGGTTGATGTAAACTTATAGTCTAGACCATTTTAACAGAACTCTCAGGTCAGTCCCTCCCCAACACTCTTGAAAAAGAGCCAAGTACAACTTGAGTAAGCAAAAAAAACTAGCTCCTAAGGCCACAGTGTATTCTAACATGCCACTGCTATGAAAACAAACGAAATCAATGGTATCATTCAAGATGAAAAACTAGTTACAAAATTCCTTTCTGGGAAATAGATTGAGCAGAAAGAGTATGTTTCAATTAAAAGTGTATGTATGTATGTGTATTTTTTATATAACAAAATGAAAATATACTTTGCATAGATTTTTTTCATAGTTCACATACAGTAAAGTTCATTTAGGACTGTAATACTTCCTACTTTAAAATAATTTAGCTAAAAAAATATTTTTTAGGGCCAGTAGTTTTGGCTAAGCAGTAATACAATGCTTTGTGGGGCTGGATCGTGATGGGATGGTCCCAGAACATGCCGTCCCTGGACATGCTGGGCACATGCTTGCCAATGATCTGTGCTGGCTGAAGCTAGAGGTAGACTGTGGCATGCAAACCCTGTTGGGAGTCTCTCTCTCTCTCTCTCTCTCTCTCTCTCTCTCTCTCTCTCTTTTACTCTCTTTCTCCCTCCCTTCCTGCCTCTCTCTCATGGAAAAAAAATAAACAGTCCTTTTAAACATTATTTTTGAATTTCATAGGACATAGAGGCTATGGTTAAAACATGTTATGTTTAAAACATGTTCTATAATGGTAAAATTAAACTGAATATTTTAATAATTATTTTAGTTAACTATGCAAATCTTTACAAGTCTCAAGCCAGGGCTAATTTTAAGACTAAATACACAAAGGAAGAAAAACAAGAATAGCCAAAATCTGATAAGCTGGCAGAGAAAGTCCTACTGGTATTAGAGCAATGTGAGTCAAAAAGAAACTTTGTTGAGTAATGCCAGGTTGCAATATTTCCTTAATAGAAGAGAGTAAAACACACAACATTTCTTTTTTTTTTTTTTTTTTTTTGAGAGATTTTCACTGTAGGGCGCGTGCGCTCGCCAGACAGACAGAGAGAGAGATAGAGACAGAAAGCGAGAAATCACCCCCCAGGGGGGATGGGCACGCCGCAATCCCTTCTCCTCCATTCTCCTCTCAGGATCTTGGGCACGCACGCACACGCGCCCGGCGTGAGTTTTAAGCCACCGGGTCCGGGACATGAACCGCGGTCGACTACGTGGGAGTCCAGCGACATAGCCATTACGCTAACTGCTGGTTCCCACAACATTTCTTTATAACCACTGCTGTTTATGAAATTGCTATGTATATTTTTCTGGATATGCATCTCAACCCATCAATAACGGAAAAAAAAAAAATAGACAAACAGCCACCAAGATGGCCACATTCTCAGGAAACAGACATTCCAAAATGTAGGCAACCCTGGAACACTAGCACACAAATAAACATCAGAGTTTCCCGATCAAGCACAGGAGGTGAGTTGGAGTTGGCACTCAGTCTTAGGGCTTATGACTTCTATTAGTTACGTGACCTTGAACTTTCCCAAGCCACCATGTTTTTTTATCTGCCAAATGGGAATAATCAAAACTTGCTTCACATACATTATTCACTTAAATTGTACAGCAACCAGTGCTGTAGATACAAAGTATAAAATACTATAAAAACACCAAGTATCCAAAGTATCTGAATGTCCAACCTATAATAAGAATTGTTTTTCTACCCCAAATATAGTTCTAAACAATTCATAGTTCTGTAAAAAGGAATCGATTTTCTCTGATATTTTGGCACATATTGGTTAGCAGTAGCTGACAACTGACATCTTTGTTTCTTTCTTTGTTAGTTTATTTCTTCCATGTCTGAGAGAGAAAAAGAGAGACAGACAGCACCTCCAAAGAGTCCTGACACCACAATCCACAACTCCCCCAGACTACGGGTACATGTGTGCCTGGCAGACTCAGGGAGGTGTCTGGACCTGATCCCAGAACCTTCCCATGTGGCTCTGTCTCACAGAGCATCACGTTTTGCCACCACAGCACAGCAGCTGAAATCTTAAATCACACTTTGAGGTGGGACACTGTGTGTCTCCTTTCCCTCAGCACAACTGATGAGATGGGATAGGGGTGGGGGACCTGAGGAAACGGGAAGAGGAGGGCATCTGTTATCATCACCACACAGCTGGGCAAGGCTCCACTGGATCCCCAAAAAGAAGAGGAAGTGGCATGGTCATCAGATCCACATTCACACAGGGAGTTCTGGGCACCTGCTACTTTGAGATATTAGGGCAGGAAAAAAACTAAGAACAGCTGGGCCAGATGACCTAGAAGGTCAACCTAAATGCTAAAATCTGTGATTCCAGTTCTCATTTCCACGCCCACCTAAGCCGAGACATCTTCAAATATAAGAGCCACCTAACTGAAATGTATATGAAAATCCTTCTTCCTTCCCACTGGCCAGGAACTGGAGCAGGAAACAAGTCACGGTGTGCGGCTAAAGGGGGACAGAAACCAAGAATAACAAGAAAACCAACAGAGCTAATATGCTGGGGAGAATGGAAGAAGACCCAGCTCCCTCGGGATTTGAGGATAACATGAAGTTCCCAGGGTGGGTTCTGGGACCCAGGGAGGTAAAGTCAGGACAGACTCAGGGCTTGTTGGAAAGGGACAGGAGCCAGCTGGGGCCATGTCCAAATATTAAACAGAGGACCATATGTTTTGCATAATTCTACAAATATTGACAAGGGAATTCTGGCCACTCAAACATATTTTTTCCTGACAAACTAATATTCAGTTAAACAGGCACCAGAAACTCAGAAGTTTCTAAGCTATAGGACATCTCCTTTAATACAACGGTCTTCAATGATTAAACCAGAATCAGTTTAGCCAGAATAAATGGGAGTTATTTAATTTTCTGTAGCAAGCAGATTTATCATAAGATCGGAACTTTTTTTAGAGAGGTATAGTCATTTGTTCAAGAGTGTGTATGTGCATGAGTGCACAGAGAAGACTGTATGGTATTTTTAGAAAGGGTCTTACTGTGCCACCATCCTCCTGCTTCAGCCTCCCAAACAACTAGGACTCCAGGGGACCATAATTAATACAATTATGAGTGTCTTTCTCTATCTATGTTTTCCTGGTGATGCATATCACTTAAACAATGCACAGAGTTGGTTTTCAACATTCAGGACATGTTCAAATGTTATTGCTTCCTGTATCAGCCTTTTCAGTGCTTTTATTTAGAAACAACGAATTCAACTTCTTTTTCCTTTGTGAGAAAGAGAGAGGGAAAAGGAGAGAAATGGAGGTATTTTTAATAGAGTATTTTCACTCTGTTGCCATCTTCTCATCCTAACCTCTGAATTAGCCAGGATTAGAGTATATTAAAGTTGGCCCAAGAACCAGCAGTTAGCGTACTGGCTATGTCGCTGGACTCCCACATAGTCGACCGCGGTTCGTGTCCCGGACCGGGTGGCTTAAAACTCACGCCGGGCGCGTGTGCGTGCGTGCCCAAGATCCTGAGAGGAGAATGGAGGAGAAGGGATTGCGGCGTGACCATCCCCCCTGGGGGGTGATTTCTCGCTTTCTGTCTCTATGTCTCTCTCTGTCTGTCTGGCGAGCGCACGCGCCCTACAGTGAAAATCTCTCAAAAAAAAAAAAAAAAGAAAGAAAGATAAAGCTTTGCTTCTGTTAAGTTCCTACAGAGCATTCCTTCTGAGACTTTATACATGTATAAAATCTATTACTGTCCTACAGTAAAGATAATGCTTTACACCATGCAGGTGAAACTTTCTAAATGAACAGAAAAACACTTAAACCCAAACTTCTGCACAAGTTCAAATCTTACCTGGAAAGATGCTCAGTCCTCTGTTTACTTCTAAGCTAATGATCAGAACTCGAGCTGTGACGCTAAAAATTTGTCGAGGTGCAAAGTTCAAACCATCAGTAACCTGAAAATTAAAGCCTCCTGACATTGCTCCTTCAAAAGAAGAAATTACACTCTGGTCAATTTGGTCATTCTGCAAAAGCCACCCACTTTCACCCAGCCCCTATCGATTTGAGAAATTTGAGAATGTCCTAATGCAATCACTGAACTCACAAATTGAATAATGCAAAGACACAAAATTAGAACAATATCGATAAAAATCTATAGCATAGATTCCCCCATCCTATGACATAATAAAAGAAAGCAAAAATGTTCTCTCTAAGAAATCTTTTAAAATGTTAAAAACATATTCATCACCTGTACTTTATTATTTTTTTTGAATTTATACCAGTAAAAGTAATGCATGCATAGCACACACATACACACACACACACATCAGATAAAACTAGAAATCAAAATTAGGGAGAAGTAAATAATACTTAACCACCCTCCACTCTGACTCCAAATAGCTACCTGCACTTTTACTTATTTATCTGTTGCAAGCTGGGTACATTCTGCTAAGAGGGGAAAGAGCAGGGAGGGGAAAGACCTAGCCTTACTTCCGTTAAATTTCTGCAGGGAGAGAATTCCACTCACGCCTCAGTCAAGCGAATGGTGATATCAGTAGTTATAAATTAACTTATGTGCAAAGCTGAAATTGAGATGGATTCCTATTGATCCAGCTCCCTGGAGTGCTTCACTAGTCTGACTCATGAAGCACTGGGCAAAATCACTATGCAGAGAGCTCGATGTTCACATTCCAATCACTCTCTGAAAATGTTCATCTAGCAGTAAATTTGGAGGCTTACAGGTCTTTGCACTAGGCAGCAGATAAGAACATATATTTGTTGCCCCAAGGGACATATGGCAAGGAATAAAAGAGGCCCAGGCAGGCTGCAATTATGTACAAGTACTCCCTTAATAACACGATTTAATAAAAAGTAGGTCGATGGCTTAATAGTCTCTCAAGTCCCTATTATCTAAGCAAACCCTGGGAGTTCCTATTCCTTACAAGAAGAGGTTACAGACTGTTAAAAATTTCCCAGTACACTCAAAAATCATCTTAAAAGGGAGGGAGAGAGATCAGAGTCAGCCTAATTCAGAACAGGAGTCTCCAACCAATGTTATTTTTCATTGGCTTCTTTTCCTAGAAATTGCACTTTGAAAGTTGTCTTTAATGAAACATGAACTTAAGAATGCTTTCTGCTGCTAGTGCCTAGCAGCAGAAAAAGAATTCAGAAAAAGAATGGAGATGAAATCAAAGGAATTATATCAAAACAAATACAGAATATTGTATTGCCTGTGCCCTACCAGACTAATTATGACCGAAGTAAAGTAAGGGGGGAAATACAGAAGTATTTTCTTTTACAAAATACAGAAGTGGGATTGACCTATGGATTTTCTATTATACAATCTCAGATATTGCCCGACAGTGCTTTCAGAAGGCTGAGCTTAAATAAATCACTTAGCCTCTCACCTTTGGGTTTTATCAACCTGCTTTGGTTATTATGTGGAATAATGAATTAGATTAATGGAAGAGCACTTTGCAAATATAAAATGCTAAGAGAGACTAATTAAACCTGTGCTTTGTTTAAGACTGATGATGGACAGATGTGCCAGGGGAGAACAGCTGGTTTCAGCAACAGGCTCCTTTGCAGCTGGGCTGCGGCCACTCTGAGGTTTATTAGTTTGTCTCCAGGTCCATTTAGAAAATATAATGGATTGGCTTGCACACTGAGCTGTTCTTTAACCCTGCTTCATGCTTCCTTAGGAGAAATTATTTTCCCTACTTAACAAAAACAAATATTGACCTGGTAGTTGACCAAAAAATGTCAATCCGGAGAGCTCATTTTTATTTTAATCTTTCATTGCAAATAGTAACTTCAGTGTCTCTACCTGTCCTGCTCTTTAGTGGAGGGGCAGCTGGTAGAGAAAGCCCAGTGCTGGGTGTGGTGGCGCCCGCCCTATGGAGAAAGTCCAGTATTAGGATCCAGCCAACTTTACCTTTTTGAGATTTAGTTTATCTCAAAAATGGGCTCATTACTCCCTGTTGCTTAGAAGATTTCTGAGGATGAAATGAAGTGGGTGATGTGACTCTACCTCCTGTAGTCCCTGACAGGTGGTAGAGAGTGAATGATTGCTTACATGATAGGCATAATTATGGAAGTCCAAAACTTCCCTTGTGCCAGTCTATAGAGCAATTCTCTTCATTTTGAAAATATGACAATTCTTTCATAAAATGAAAATAAACCTTCTAGGTCCCTACCTAATAATACTTGAACTTTTGGCATCAAAAAAAAAAAAAAAAAAAAACCCACACATGTTGGCAAAAACTTATCAATTTTGTACCTCTTTAAATGTTTATATTGTTTATTTTATTTTTCCATAGGGTGTATATACTTGCCAGAGAGAGACAAAAAGAGAAGGAAAGTGAAAAATCACCCTCCCAATAAGAAAGAAGGGATGGCCACTCAGCAATTCCTTCTCTTCTATTCTCCTCTTGGGATTTGTGCACACCCATTGTGTTTTTCAAGCCACTTGGGTCTGGATCTCAAAGTGCAAGATGCAACACCTTAACATCATGCTACTTGCTGGTCTGAATTGTATTTTATTAATGAGCACACCTACACACAATTTTAAAATGGAAATACATGTACATGGAAAATATCAGTCAGTCCACAAGCAATGCTTCGGTACATATGTGGGAAGATTTAGGATCCTGTTACACTAAAACTAACCACTGCAGATTTGAAACTAGATGAGAGTGTTCACACAGTAAATTATTTTCAGATTCTTTGGGCATCCTTTGCATTAACTGCAAAGAAAATCAGGAAATTACTATATTCATATTTAGAGGATATTATATCCTTCCTTTCTTTACTGTATTTTTTAAATAAGATCATTGAAAAATAAAAAGACATGACTTTTTAACTTTCTCATCCTGCACGGCTGGCTCAAGTTCCTTCCCATTCCTACTGCAGGCTGGAAATGGCCTGCTTCTCCCAGCCCACTGACAATGGCAGCCTGGAAAGAAAGCCAGGCTGCCCTTTTGCAAAGTGCCGGGGTTGCCCCTTCTGCAGATTTACACTTGCCATTTGGCTTATTGATTCACTGATGAACAGGAGGAAGAAGAAAAGGGCTTTTAATGTCGGGATCTTTTAGAATTACAGTTACATTCATTCACTCATTCATTTATGTATTCCTTCATTGAACTTGCATCTGTTTTGTGTGCTAATATATCCCTACCTGGCACATAATAAATGTTACATATCATTTTTTCCTTTCAACAAATTTTTATTAGGCATGTGGTATGTTCCAGTCACTGTTTCAGGTGCTAACGCTACAAGAGTGAAGAAAACAAAGGTCCTGCTATTAATAGGGTTTAGATTGTCGTGAGGAAGACAGACAACAAATAAATATCCAAGTAAATCTTTACTATAATGTCAGGTAGCCAGGGAAAGGGATGAAAAGTAACAGAGGGGAAATGCTATTTTTTTAGTGGGTTGTCAGGAAAAGGCTCTCAGATAAGCTTATATTTGAGCACCAACCTTACATGATAATTTGAGTAAGCCATGTGAGAGTCACAGGTACTTGCTAATGCTTTCTATTATTAACTTTACTAAAAAAGAGAGAGAAAGAGAGAGCTTGGAAAGTTTTTAGATGGCCTATGGTTTTCAGTCAGCAACTTCAGGCATGACTATCACAATAACCACAGATTGAACACGTTTTGGTTTCACATCATTCTTCTTCCATGACCTACCAGTATGTACAAACACTAGTTGGCCCTCGTTGATTTGAGCCTGGGTGAAGTTCTGGATGCTTTGACCAGGAGAGGACTTAAGAGCTAAATGCCCGTTGCTGGGTACAGTGGCCCAGTAGGCCAGGTTCTGTGGAGAGGAGTCCCCATCTTCTGCACAGAGGTCATCCTGGGTCAGCGCAGTGACAGAATTCGCCCATACCTTAAAAAGAAGAGGACCATAGATCGTTCAAGGACTAATTTCAGTCACATCACATTAGCAAACTAGCTTGCTATGACATCTTGTCCCCTTGCACAAAGATTTAGAAGCTAAAGCAATTCACCAGCATTTCTAAAGCAAGCAGTTCCTTAATTCAAAACAGATGTATAACTAAATGCCAAATGAAATACAAGTCACATTATTGGGTTCATTTAATTCATGAGGTCTATGAGGGTTTCAGTGAAAAGGTATTCATAATTATTTATTCAAATATAATTATGTGAGGTTTAAATGCACTTACACCAAGTATGAAAACAGTAAAAGTTGATGACTACAAAGCACCTTCCCTGTGCCTGGCATATGCTAAACACTCTACATGTAGTTTCAGATAATTCAGAACATACCTCATAGGATTGATTTCAGTATTTCTTTTTCTTTTCTTTTTTTTTTTTTTGCAGGGGGGTGGTTTGCCATAGGGCATGTGCAGGAGAAGGGATTGCAGCATGGCCATCGCCTCTGGGGGTGGCGGGAGAGAGACAGAGAAAGAGATAATGAGAGGTAAAGTGAGAAATCACACCCCCTCCCCCAGAGGGGATGGGCATGCTGCAATCCCTTCTCCTGCATTTGGGATTTGGGGCATGCATGCACACATGCCCAGCATGGTTTTCAAGCCTCTAGGTCCAGGACTTGAACAGCATTCAGCCATGTGGGAGTCTAGCACCTTAACCACCATGCCACTTTCTGGCCCTGATTTAAGGGTTTCTATTCATGGCAGTAAGAAGTAAATGATTTCATCTGCTTTTAAACAGTTGATATGGGGCCAGCAGGTGGCATGGTGGAAGCACTGGACTCCCACCTGGATGACTATCGTTCGAAGGCCGGACTTGGCAGTTTGCTTTCTCCCTTTCCCTTTCTCTTGCTCTCTGACTCTCTGGTCAAACTTAAATAATGATAATAATAATAATAAATGGAATTAAATAAATAAATAATTCTTCTGAATAAATAAATAGCTGGTAGGAAAATATACTGCACATATTTTACTCCACTTATCTGGAACTGTCTCACAGAAAACAAAAATAACAGGTTACTATACTCTTGCAATGTTTGCTGTACAGATAGTTCCCATCTACAGTTGTAGCTGAGTTATATTCTCTGTTTCCTAATTAAGCTTAAAGTCTATTTACAGTGCCTAAACATTTTAACTCAGCAATCATTTAATGAGCATCTACAATATTCCAGGCAATGTTCTGAGTGTTTGCAACGTGTCAGACAAAGAGGCCTACATTCATGCATGTAGAAATGGAACCTACATTCTGGCAGAAGGGGACAAAGAGACACAGAGACGGAATAATAAAAAAAATAAATTATATAGTGTGTTAGAAAGTCACAGCTATGAACAAAGGGAAAAACACAAAGTAAGATAAAGAGAGCTCAAAGGAGGATGAATAGGAGGCTCCTCTGAGGAGCTCCTAGAAGGAGGTGAAGAAGGAGTCATGTGAATATCTAGGGGAAGACCATCCAGGCAGTAGAAGCAGCCCTAAAGAAGTAGCTGCCTGTCTGCTGGGGGGCCAGAAAATCCATCAATGTAGCAGGAAAGCACATGAAGAGTAAAAGGAGAAGAATCAAAAATGTAATAGAAGGTCAAGTTCTGTGGAGTCTTGAACACTACTTTAAGAAGGCTGGGTTCTCCTTGAATGCAATGGAGAATCGAGGTAGGGCTTTGGATGAGGAGTGACCTGGTCTAACTCAAGTCTTCACAGACTCCTTCTGGATTCTGTGTCAAGAATAGATGATGAGACCAGCAATTAGCATAATGACTATGTCACTGGACTCCCATGTAGTCGACTGCAGTTCAAGTCCTTGACCTGGTGGCTTAAACTCACGCAAGGTGCCTGTGCGTGTGTGCCCAAGATCCCAAGAGGAGAATGGAGGAGAAGGGATTGCGGCGTGGCCATGCCCTGTAGGGGGTGATTTCTCGCTTTCTGTCTCTCTGTCTCTCTCTGTCTGTCTGGCGAGTGCACGTGCCCTATAGCAAAAACTTCTCCAAAAAAATAAAAGAAGAATAGACGGTAGGAGGCCAGGGTGGAAGGAGGGAGGTCAGTTAAGAGGTGCAGAGAGGGATGATGGGTGAGAGTTGCCAGAAGTTGCAGAAGTGGTGGGAAGTGGTCAAATACGGATGTAAAGCAAACAGAGTGTCTGACACATTTAGTGTGAAAGAAGGAAAGGCAGTGAGAATGACGCCATGATTTGGACTCAGAAAGTAGAAGACAGAATTACCATCCATTGGTATAAGGAAAGCTAGAAGTAGAGTAGATTTGGGGAGGAAGATCAGGGTTTCCATTTTGAACATATTGGACTTAAAATGTTTATTTGGATACTGAGTCACATCTGATAAAGTCAGGCTTTTTGGGTTTCTATAATCGCGGAGTCACATGAAATTTCATTAATACTAAAAACAAGTGGTTTTTATCACCAACACTTTAATCACATTTTCATCTGTATTTATACTTACATATTTTATCATTCATAGAAACACTGTGTACACATTCCCAAGCTTATGTGTTATTCTTTGCTCTCTGACTAGAACCTTATTCTCTTCTATATCAACTTGTTTAAAAATTCGATCCTAAGCAATTTAACAGAAGAGCTCTCTGATTAAAAGGAATCGTCTCCCTCCGTTTATGAAATAACTTAACCCATTTCCACTCTTCATATAGTAACTAAACAGATTCTGAGACAGGGAAGTCAAAAAGTATATCAGATTCCTGTTTTCATACCAGGCATAATGGAGCTAGAAGATAAAAGTCACTTTGGATTGTTTCTAATGCATCAACTACTGATAGCACAGAAATAAATTACTCTGTGAATTATCACTAAACTTTTGGAAATTAAACAGTTGAGCTCATAAATTAGTCGTACATATATACCTGTCTACTCCACATATACATGCATGTGCAGACACTCACAGACATACACACTGGAAGATATACTTCCAAATGGATGTTTAACCCCTCGAGGCAACCTCATTGAAAGGAAACACTCATGCCCATAACAATATCACTGCTCAAAATACTTCTTTTGAAGTTATTTTCAGGTCATTCAAGAGCATTTAATTTTGCTTTTGTCCAGTTAGACTGTCTGGATTCAAGTTACTGCTTTGCCATTTACTAGTTATGTAACCATGGGCACATTTTTTAAACTTCTCTGTACCATAATTTCCTCATCAGCATTAGAATGATAGAGTTATTTTGCATCATGATCCATTTACTATACAAGGGCTTTTCAAAAAGTTCATGGGAAATGCATATTATGAAAAGATAAGCACAGATTTCAAGTTTTCTGCACCAAAATAAACTCATATTTAATTCCGTTTTCTCATGAACGTTCTGAAGTCCTTTCATATGCAAAGTGTTTAGAATCGCTTCCCTGGCACATAGTGAACATTCAGTAAATATTAGCTTTTCTTACTCATTTTCTTCATCAGATTTGGCTCTGAGGATGGGTGTGGTTTTTTAATATCACTTAAAGTCACTCAGAGTTCAATGATTACCACTACTAAAACTATTCTATAACACATGCTACAGATTTTATTTTAATCCCACGGCAGTTCTCTGTTTAATGACCGTGTTGTCAATGGATACTCCTATGTATCTTTTGGAATATGCCAACTGAGTATTTTTCAGAGCTGTAAGGAAATCAACTTTTTAATAGCTACCAGAAGTTCTTCTCAATCTAATGTTCAAATTATAAGGCTGTGTGGAAAGGCTGTAGTTTCTATTAAAAAAACAAGCTGGACTGTTAACAAACTTCCAAACTTACTCATCCCAGTTTTTGACTTTTTGCATTTTTAATCCATCCATATATCTTATGCCTATTTTATGAGGAACTCAGTATGATTTGGAAATGTGCTGCCATTTCTCTTGCTGTGACTGGCAGACACTCATTTTTTCCAACACTGTGCACAAAAAAAGCTGGATGAAGCATGTTTTCCACTGTAGTTACTCTACTGTGGAACACTGCTTTCCCCCTCTTGCCTCTGGAATATACCGTCTTCCAAAACAAAGAGCTGGTAACCTTAGGTCTTCATTTCCACGCAAACCTGAGTTCAATTAACAGCCTTATCATGGTCTGATTTAGTGCCTAGTGCTTAGTATAGGAACTCAGACAGGTGAGGAGAAAAAACAAAGACCCCAAAACCGAATTCAGATTGTAAAATGATCCAAAGTTCATAAAGTAATGACTCAATGATGACATGTCTGAAAAAATTAACACTTGAACCTGGACTGATATATATATA